ACTCCTCTCGCGGTGCCCCGGGTCGGGGGGGGGGGGGGGTCCAGCAAAGCCGATGGACCCCCCCAGCAGACCAGGAGGACAGGAGCAAAGCCGCCCAGGCGGCGAGGGTCCCGCTGCCTGGGCAGCTTTGCTCCCGGGCAAACGAGCAAAGCCGCCCAGGCAGCGGGGTCCCTCCGCCTGTGCGGCTTTGCTCAGGTTTCCCTGGTCTGCTGGGGAGGACTCCCGCCAGCACCCCAGGGAGACAGGAGCAAAGCCGCATGGGCAGCGGGGTCCCTCCGCCTGTGCAGCTTTGCTTGGGTCTCCCTGGTCTGCTGGGGGGTGAAGGGGGGCAGCTAGTGTGCCCCCCCCAGCAGACCAGGCTTTTGTTGCAGGACGCCTCGGGTAGAGCAGCTGGGGTGCTGCCGGGTTGGTCCTGTGGGAACCTACCAGGCAGCGCCCCAGCTGTTCTGTCCCAGGCTCCAGATTCAGCAGCTGTTGAAACTGATCAGGCTGATTCCAGGAAGCTGGGGGCCATACATAGCCTTCTGACTACTGAAAAGATGCAATATGAAGAAACAATAGAGAAAAGGAACAGTTTAGTTCCAATGATCTGCTATTTTATCATGCTGGCCTGTTGGCTAGTAAGAGAACCTGTGTGTGAGGTAATTGCTATTAGACCAACTTCTTTTAGTGAGACACAAGCTTTTGAACTACACATAGAAAGAAGGTCTGAAAAAGAGCTGTCTGCTAGAAAAAAAACAACAGGTTTTTTTTTGTCATCACTCGTCCCAGATAGTTTGTTTATGAGAGATATGATTCTCCACAATACAGAAGTAGAGAGATGTACATGCATATGCATGGTCAAAGGTAATGAGCAGGAAGAGCAGTGCCAGGAACCCCTCTTCAATATGGAGAGCACAGTTATCTGGTCAGATTTGGTTACTACTAATTGCAGGAGTAAAACCAAAGTGGGAAGGGAGTTAAGTGTTTCATTTAACCCCATATTTCTTCATCTGGCCACTCTGCATCCACATTTCTCCACAGTTTTGCTCTGTGTTTGAGCATAAATGAACAGATGGCAAGACTACTGTGTGGTGGATTATGCCTATGTGCCCATGCATTCTCACTTGCTCTGGACCACAGCATCATTAGGATCACTGCTATGCACTATGAAAAGACTTGTACTGTCCTAATGTATTCTTTCTTTTTGGCTGCAGTGGAACAAATGTAATGTTGGGAGAAGAATATCTCGTGCTGATAGGGAGCTATCTGGTAAGAAGCTTGAAGCAGAGTGATGCCAGCAGTGCTTCAATCAAAAGCAACACACAGGAAAAGTTGTGCTAGAAACCACAGCATATGCACTTGGTGCCAACCCCATCCTTCCCAGCTGACACACATGCATGCTTGGGGATATGGTTTGGAGCAGTAATCAAGCATTAGAGTGAACTCTCTTCTACTGCTTATCCAAGGGATGGGATGCAGGAAGTTACACACTCTCTTTATCCCATCCACCAGATGCACTTGTATTAGAACAGGGCATGAGCTAGCCCTAAATGTCTTTGTAAATCCAGAAACAGAGAGCCATAGCTCTTTTACTTAAACCACTTAGGAAGAAGGTGCATTTATATTTGCTTACCCATTTCATGGGGAATTTCATGGCATAAGATAGCAATCGTCGTGGTCACACCTGTTTCTGTTGAGGATGAAAATGCTGCTCCTATTACCAGGCCATCAGCAAAATTGTGAAGACTGTCACCCACCAAAACCATTAGCGCCAACAAACTAATTCCTTTACCTAGGGAGCAAAGTCAAAAGTAAAAAGAAAAATGCTGCTTCTAATTTAGGCTTCCTACAAATATTTTCCCCCAGTGAACTAAAGTTTTATGTTGCAAAAGGGTTATATAGACTACCCAGTTTGTTTTTATCTTTACAGCAGTTTCAAGATTTTCAGCATGAGAAAATAGAATAATTCAGAGATGCACATACTAGGAAGTAGCTTCCTTTGGGCCTTTACTACTAGGTAGACTGTTGAGACGAAAAGATGGTTTGAGGTCAGTTGAGTAATTTATCTTCTGTGTGCCTCGTAAATGTCACCCTGGATTGTTAAAATACATATTCCTTCCTCCACCCCCAATTCTAAATACTTCTATCTTAAAAGGTAGGCTTTTCATATAGTGGGCCAGAGAGTTGCACATCTATAAGTAAGAGAAGAATTTAGTCTTGTTGGGAGACCAACTCTTGGCAGGCAGGTGGAGTGGTTGGAGCAAGAGTAGAAATCCAAATACCAGAACCAAGGTTCAAGGCAGAGTCTGAACCAGGATCAGAACCATAATCAGACTCTAAATGCCAGAGCCAGAAGTCAAGATAGTCAGAGCAAGAAATCAGAGATAAGGGTCAGAACCAGATTACTTGGAGTCAGGGAAGGCACAAGTAAGGCTAGCTCCAAGGCCAGAGCAAGGCTAGCATGCGACTGAAACAGGCCAGGTGCATGGCACGGTCTAGGCTAGAGCAAGTCTGAGGACAGGATAGAAGCAGTTCTTAAAGAAAGATGAGAAGCAGAGAAGCTGCAAGCATGTGAATTGAGCAGCCTGGGAACTCCCACTGTCACTGAGGTGAAGGATGGGTATGCTGGCTTCCCCAGTCAGTCAGGTGGGGCAATCCAACAAGTGAACTTGCTGATGTGGCTCAGCTGTGCTCATAAGGCCATCAGCGTACTGGGAGGGTGGATCTGCCTAGTCTTTTGCCTAACAGGCCTCAGGTAAATGATAGTATTGTGAACAACAGAAAAATCATGTTCTCATCTCTGAGCCTAGCATTTCACAGGAAATAGAATCCAAAACACAATCAGCCTCAAACCACCATCACAGATCTAGTGTCCAATCAGAATCATTTCTGACCTTTGTTAAATGAGTGATCTAGTAGCTTGCATGCTGAAGGAACAGTTAAGGAATATTGGGCAAATCCTCTTCCAAGAACCTAGCCTCAGTAGCTGGGTTGCATGCTGAGGAGTTGGATGGGGGAAGGAACCATTTCCCTAAGCTGCAGAGCAGCTACCTGCCACAGCTCTACAGTGAATAGACTATGTCCAGCAAGTGATCCCATACCTAGCTCCTGGAGTTCTGCACCTCCCTTGGTACATCCATTCTGCTTTAGTGATTACACGGCTTAACTGCATTTCTCCCAGGAATCCTACCTACTGTCCCTCCACTCAGTACATAGAGTGAAACTCTCCTGGTTCAGCCCAACTGACAAGGTCTGCCTTTCTAGTTGTTGAGGCAGTGGCAGAGTTTGCCCCCATGAACTCGTCTATTTCCTCTCTCTCTCTCTCTCTCTCTCTCTCTCCCTGCCCCCAGCTACAGCATGACAACCTGTGGATGTAATGTGGCATTCCATAGACCCCACTGAATGTTGTTGTTATGAGATTTTCCTGCAGTGGCATTTTTGTATAGGAGACTGTTTTAAAAGAGACAGGAGAGATGTTTTTCTTACGTAAACTGGCTAGAAATGAAGTCTTCAAAACTATTATAAAAGAAAACACTCTGAAAATAAGTCTTACAACTGTATTCAGAAAATCCTCCCCAGTTGCCTGAAAGCTCTGAGGATTCAGCAATATTGGCAAGCTCAGTAGACTTTCCTGCCAGCTCACAGAGCCAGACGTGGCTGTCCCCAGATTGCATAGCTCTTTCTAAACACTACAGGCAGTTTATCCTCAATAGTGGAGGACAAGAATTTCATAGAAATAACAGATTGCTGCACTACATTAACTTTATGGTTTGTAATATGCACTGGTTAGGGTGAAATTGTGGCTTGGCTCAAGTTGTTATTAGCCAGTGTCATTTAAGCAACAGTTGTTGAAAAAAAACAACCATACTATAATGGCTGAGATTCATTTCAGTCTATTATCTATAACATAAAATGGGAGTCAGGTTAACTTTATGAAGTGCTAAGCATTTTAAAGCTTGTGCTAATGTAACCTTATGTGAACATATGTCACTGAAATTTAAGTAAATAGATACATGAAAGAATTGGAGTGCTTTTAACCTCATTTATTTTAGTATGTTTTAAATCTAAATCATGTTATTAGCAATTATGTCAATGCACTTTACTGCTGTGAATGTAAACTTTCTTATAGTACCTCCTAGAAAATGAGTATTTGCATGCAAATTCTTCTTTGAACAACTCTGCATTTCACTTGCAAATTTCAAGTGGACTTTTTGTGTAAAGCCAAGGATTGGAACTCTGCTTTTTAATTTTCATGGAGCCACCGGATGGGTAGCATTTCTACTATAGATTCCACTTTTGAAGTTCTGACTAACAAGGTAGTGGTTTAACTCTTACATTTGCTTATTCTAGGGCTGTAGTTCAATGTTTTGGGGGCTCATAAGAAGTGCTGACATGACTTCTGATTAGTCTAACGTGAATCAGAAAACACAACTATAAAATGATAATATTGGTTGTTTATATTGACAGAAGGGATCTTAGTACAAAAAAATTAGTACAAAACCTTCCAAAGTTAGTTATTTTAAAAAACATATATTTAAACAAATATTACTCTTTATCTTCTAATGCAGAAGGAGAATTGATAGTTCTACCCAAAACATGAAATCAGAGAATACTAATAAAGAGGTACTTGGGAAATGTACTCAAATACCAGCATTCTGTGCTTGGAGCAGATAATCTTGACCTTGTGTGGAATATGTTTTAGATTATTAGTAGAGAGTGATGAGTGAACAACCCCGAAACAAAACTACAGATGAAGTAGATAGTGATAGCAAAACTGGGAGTAGATTGTGTGCTGAACGGAAGGTCAGATTCAAGCAGTGGAAATCTAGTTTTCCAAAAATGAGATCTATGTCCTGAAATGGAAATGAATTTCACAACATCAGCGAATAACACTGAAGGACAACAGAAGACAGTGAAACTATCAAGAATTCAGCATCATGGCCTGACACTGATTGTCACTAGACAAAGGGGAGTAGAATTAGAGAAATATATAGATTATAGGCAAAATGTTATTTCCCAGCAGCATACCTGCAACCTCATAACTTGGGTACAATCAAGAGCAAAACTAGGTCTATAATATGTTTTCTTAGTTTCTAAAGTAAGGAAAAGCAGAGCAGAGAAGTAAAAATGATTTCAAAACTATTTAATGAGATATTAGTTCAGTCTAAAGCTACTGATAGATGGAGAGCCCAGAATTCCATATAAGGAATAAGTCACCACTGGTTTTAATAACCATCATTTCATTACTGTTACAGAAGGGAAATTATAGTATAGCAGGTGAACCAGAAAATGAGAAGTGATGACAATTTCAATATTTTTTTCTTTTTTGAAATAAGCAAAAGGCCCAAGCAAGGTCTACAATTATCAAATGGTTATGGTAGTAAATATGTGAGGATTTCCCTTTCAGTAAAGTAGTTTGAAATGGTGAGTAAACAAATATTCAAGCAACACCAGAATAAGATTAATGAACTTTCTAATTATGGGCCTGGTTGGCTGGAAACAGGTCTTTAAGCAGAGATTTAATTATGTAGGCAGGCAGAATCAGCTGTGGTGATGTAATACATAGAAAACACAGAGCTGAGCCAGTTTCACACATTCAATCCAATCTCAGGCCTGAAGGATTTTTGTGCTGCTTGTTTAATCTTTTTATCAATACTTACTCTTTCTGCTTGTCACCTTGCTGTCGGGAGGAACTTCAGACTCAGAATCTTCAGGACTTCTCTAATTAAAAGGAAAGATATTGGATCAGCAATCAAGTGGTCATTCTAATTAGCTGTTATTAAACAGTGAAAACCTAAATAGATTCATTGTTCATTAAAAGAAAATTTAGCTGCTGCCATCTATAATATTTACCATGATTATCATTAAACTTATTTACTGAACGCTGCACAAAAGAGAGACTGTCCTTGCCCCCAGAAGCTTACAGTCTTTTTCAGACCAAACAAAAACATATCAGTAGCATTGGGGTGCACTGAGAAAAATCACATTTCAGGAATGAAACAAACTTTTGAGAGAGAAATGCAGAGCTTAAAAAAGACTAAGTTACAAGTCAGCATTTTGGTACAATTTTTCACTGTAGTGAAGCTAAAGGATCTTGAAAGAGAAGTGGTGAAGACTGGCATCCATAACAAAGAGCTTGTCTACACGACAGATGCTACAGCATTATATAAGGCATATGATTTTTTCACACCCCGAGTGACATAGTAAGTTTTAAATGTAGACCAGGCCTAAGATAGTCTTATTAGTTTCTCTGTGAAATTGCAAGACTCAAAGAGATGAAAACAAATATGTGGCAATCAGGCAGATATTAAGATGTTTGACCACCGGGTTATTGAGACAATAGGTGCCAACATTGTGTGCAGATGGTAACAGAAGTCCCTGATTTTAGTAGTCTTTACTCCCACTTCCAGCCCTTCCTCAGATACTTCTTCGCTTCCCACCTTCCTCAGATGCTTCTTCGCTTCCCATGTTCCCCTTCTGTCCCTCAAAATGTGCTAATAAGGCTGTTTGATATGCAATAAAAATGCCCTCAGACCCAATTCATTACTTTCATCAAAGTTGTGGTACAGCAAGTTTTACTTCCTCAGTCACAGTTACTGCTATAGCATGAAAGTTCTGACCCCTTCCAAAAAACAATAAAAGAGTCAATAAAATGATTAGTGGAAAGTGATGTTTGTCTCCTTGAGTGTGGCATAGTGTCTCCTCTGCTCTGTCTGTTAGCTTTTGTCTAGACAGAGGAGTTGACCCCAGGGGTAAATAACACTTTCTTATCCACCCCATTCATAATTTATACACTTCTGTCATATCCCCCGTTAGTCATCTCTTTTCCAGGATGAAAAGTCAGAGTCTTTTTATTCTCTTCCCATAGTCAGCAGGGATTTGTCTCATTGTCACCCACATTATCATGAAAAAATGGGCAGCTCTCACCCAAACAAGCCAAGCCACACTAGTTCATATTACTAATACGTAGATGTAGGATGATGTTGCAGTTTGCCAGCTGAAAGCAATGGTTAATTACTTAATGAAAAAACAGGAAGTGACCCTGTGGGTCAAAATTCAGTAAATTATTTTCACTGGTATGCTTACAAGCATTCAGTTAGCAGTTCCCAAACTGTGTTCATTAACTCAATAGTAGCTCATATGGCAGTTGTTGATAACCCTCTTTTCGTTAAGATGTGGACTATAATATGGAAAAGTTTTAGATTCTCTGACTAAAATAATAAGACTATAATTAGCATATCCTGAAACTACATATAATATGAAGAAAAAACTGTGCTTGCAAACAATCAGTTTAATGAATTGACTATATCTGTATGTATTTATCAAACATTTGCTTAGTCACACTCCACAGATCAAATGGGAACCTACAGAATTCCGAATAAGAAAGCACTATTTTCAGCCCATCCAGTTTTGTTTACATATTATTCATATTAATGGACTAATTAGCTCATGTGGTCCAAGTTTTCAGCTGGTAACTAATTATACACTGTACTCTCTTTGGACACCATCTCGCAGTCCTTACTCCAAATTGAAAATTGAAAGGAGTTTTGCTGCTGTAAAGGCTGATGGATTTAGCGCCTTAGACATGTAATTTACATTGGAAAACCAGGAAGAGAGCAAATGTTTTAAAAATCTTCTGGACAAATGGAATATATGGAGGTTGATTATATCAACCTGATGCATATTTTATTCACAAATATTTATAAATCTAATCTACAGGTATATCTGAATATGTTTATTGTGACCTAACAAATCTAATGATTTCTGACAATACATTCTTTTTTGAGGTCATGAGGAAGGAAAAAAATCAATAAACACTGAAAAATACTATTTAGTTATGAAGTTAATTGGGTTTATTTTTTGAGACACAGAGAAAGAAGGAAATTGAGTCAGTAAAGTATATCATATCAGTAACCTACCAACTGTATGGTTGAAGTAGATTTGCCTCTGCCTGAATGGTCATTTAATTCAGATTCCACTGGAAGATCGTGGGAATGCCCCAAGTGACCATTAACTAAGGAAAGGCCCTGCTGGATGAAGATGCTTTGCAATTAGTTCTGAAGCCAGATGAACACAGGTGCAGCCTTTGTCAGTTTCATGTTCAGATTTAGCATTTATCTGACCTATGAAAGTTGTTGACTTGAGAATAAAAACAGTTGAAAAGAATGCTAGTTGTGATAAACATTTGCTAATGTCTTTTCAGCTCAGAAAACTGCAAACTGAACCAGAAAAATATGTGAGAACCTTAGGGTATTATAGGAAAGTATTTCTTAAAAACTGAAGGTTAAAGTCACAAGTTGAAATAAACAAATAATTTAATGTTTAGTGCTCATATGCCCCTCAACTGAATGGGTTTATTAAAGTCTTGTGGAAATATTACAAAGTCCCTTTCTCTTTATTAATTATTCTTTATATGCTAGATTTCAACTTTGCTCTTAAAATCTTAAAAACATACCCATATAATATCATAGTTTGCAAAATATCCACATGCTATTCATTTAACATATTTTTTATGGCTGAATCTTGTTTTCCTCAAAGGTAATAGGTATTATGGATATAATTTTGCAAATCCACAGATATCTGCTTTATATCCATGAGTATCTGCATCCACAGATACGGATACGCGCAGCTCATTTTTAAGGATGTGGATGAAGATGCAGCTACAAATCTTGTATCTAGAATACTGTAAATTTGCAGATATCTGCCTTACAACAATGGGTATCTGCATCTGCAGATGTAAAAGTGCATATACACGGCTCTTTTTGGTGGATACAGATGCAGATACAAATGTTGTATCCGTGCAGGACTCTACTTATGGAACACGAAGAATATAGGATTTGGACCCAAATATCTAAATGAAGCCTCTGATTAAGCATTCTCTGTAAAACAGCAACAGCAAATTGGTGTTAAGATGGCCTCCCATACACAGAGAGTTAATGAAGCATCACATTTTGTGCTACATTATATCCTGGTGCATAATGACATTTTCAAACACAAGGCACACTGAGATAAAATAATGGAATTACTGAGAGCATGGCAGCCAACAAGGAGACAATACTGGTATAATGCAGGAGTCTTCAGAACTCAACATTTATACTAACTTTCAAAATCCTCTGGGGTAGAAAATTATAAGCAATTTGGTAAATTTTAAAATATAATTCCTTAAAGTGCCATTTAAAAAAGTGCCTGTCTTTGAGCTCTTCAAACAGTTCCTATGCAAAGAAACTCTCATTATCTTTCATACAGAGGCATACTATTTGCCTATTCCCATGCTAGCTACGGAGGTCTGCTTATAGAATCCAGTAATTAAAATAACTGGCTTTTTTACAGTTAAACCCATCAAACCTATGCAACATGGAAGTGAAAGGTAAGTCTGGTGGGACCAATTTTGGGAAAAGGTGGTTTATTCTTCATTTCACTTAAATAAGGAAATTGTTTTTCCAAAAACTTTTAAAAATTTACTGTGTAATATACAATCTCAAAACAAGAAGGATGTTAAATAGTGCAATAAGAAGTTTTACCTGATCACTTGGTGATACCAAAAGAAAGAAACATTTTTCTATCAGAAAAAATCCATGAATTCCTCCAATCATTCCCAACATTTTCCAAACATATTCTTTCCCTTCATAGATGTGTTCCATCTCCTGAACTTCATGCTTATGTAGACCAAGAATCTAGATAAGGAGGTGAAATAAAAGGGGAAAACATTGTTTTGACTTTTGCTAGAGTAAGCCTTAAAAGTTTTATCCCTCAACTTTCCTTTTATTACTGCTCTCAGGTTTTATGATGTATTTTAAGTTGCTGTGCTGGTCATCTGTGTAGATGAACATAATTAACTATTAATTACTTCCATTATGGTTCTGTCCTCTCTTGCCAGTAAAAATATTATTTCTAGAGGCAGATGTAATTACAGTGACAAAAGTATTTCCTTTGCATTTTGTTTAGACTTTTACAGTTTAAAAAGTTGTTCGGATCATTTTCAAAAGTCAAATCCATCCAGAAAATAATGAATTAACACTGAGTTACTTATTTAGAATTGTGCAATACTGAGAAAAACAACAAAACCAAATGAATAACCAATTAAAGGCTTGTTTTTTTTTCTTTTACACTGTCATGTACATAAAATATATGTTGTGAATTTAAATAAAAATCCTGTCACTGAGATGTTTTAATTGCAGTTCATGACAGCAGGACAATATCTCTGAAAGCCCTGAGAAATTTACAACGTGGGGGGATAGAGCTGCTGATGCTCATGGAAAACTTTGAAGACATTTTCTAGAATCAGTTTTTACATGACCTGCCTTGAGCATGTATGGAGTGTGAAGCTTGCATAAGGTTGTGCATTTGCTATGGATTCTAAGCTTTGGAATCCATTCCAACAACCCAGGGAGGGAAGAAATAAGGCCCAGCAGTCTGACCTCCCTGACTGTCAGCTGAGAAAACACACCTGCACCTGCCACTGAATAACCACAAGCCAAATAGCTATCAACCTGTCCCTGATTGTTCCCTAACCCAGATTAATGGATTACTAAAGCACGCCTGAGACCTTCCCCATTGGCTCCACACAGAGCCCCACACAAACCTAGAACTGGCCCTGTTTTAGCCATTTATATTTTCTGAAGGAACCCTCTACATATCTTTTAATTACTAAATACAGATGGAACCTCTCCAGTCCAGCATCCCCGGGAGCTGACTGGTTCCGAAACAGAGAATGTGCCGGATCATGGCAGGTCAATATTGTCTAGTAGCAATACCAACACTTTCACTGCTTACTGCATACTTAGAGGACATTTATGGGTAAATCAGAGCTAAACAACAGCACAGAACACTGAGAGCCAGGACTGGTGGCCGTAAACAAACTTTAAGGGACCAGGAGTATATCTACACTGCAACACTATTTCGGAATAACTAGCGCTATTCCAAAATAACTTAGTCAGCATTTACACAGCAGGAAGTTATTTCGAAATAATGTCAAAATACTGTCAAGCTGGAAGACTTCTTACTCCGACTCCTGTAACCCTCATTGTATGAGGAATAAGGGAAGTCAGAGGAAGAGTGCTCTATTTCGAAATAAGTGCTGTGTAAATGTTCCCTATTTCGAAATAAGCTATGCAATTGGCATAGCTCAATTTCCATAACTTATTTCAAGTTAAACCCTCAGTGTAGACGCGCCCTGGGAAACTTGTCTACACCCATTATAAGTGGACATCTGGCTAACTAAAAACATACCAGATCACGGATGTTGCAGGTCCAGAGTGCTGGATCAATCTGTACCTTTATATTAAAAGAATATCTGTTTCTTCAGAGCTCATCATTCTTTGGCTTCTGCTTCTTATTTCCCAACCTGAATATCTCTTTCTGTTTTTACATAGCCCTGAGTGCTGATCCTCTTGTTCTCAGATCTCACGGTCAGCTTTATTTTATAAAGATTAGAGGACCTGAGTTCCAGTCAATCAGTGGTTCAGGGGAATCAAAGGAGTGCAGCTTCACTAGGTACACATTTCTATACATACACATACACATACACATACACATACACATACACATACACATACACATACACACACTTTATTTTGAATATATAATCAGGCATGTTACCTGTGGAATAAGATGTAGCAGGGCATCTCCAGAGAGGGTCCCAACAGCTAAACCCACAAACAGCTGTAAAATGAGTGTATAGATTTCTTGACAGGAGTTGAAGAAAATGAGGGTTGTACCAAACATAGATCCAATAGTGATAAGTAAAACGGCAACAGTGCTGTAGCCATACTCTGAGGAAAAGGATTCAAAATAAAACCAAGCACAGCTTTAACAGTTCAGTGTCTAAATTACTTGAGGCCCTATATTCTGAGTTCTCTGAATAAACAGTCAGGAAATTCTTGAGATGCACTACATTATCTTGCTATATATGAGGGACAAGCAGTATAACAGAAGGGAGCATGTCCGAGACAAAGCATACATTGGCTATGGATCTTCAGGTAAAACAAGCCTATGCACTGAATTTCACGCCTTAAAGAAATAAATCTGCTCTTAGCAGATAGGCCATAGGCCTCCTGTGAACACACCAAGCCTCTGTTCCAAATTGTGTTTGGTTTGTGGTGTGGACAGCACTTCCTTTATGGATGTAGTCAGAACACTAACCAATTTTTCCTTACGATTGGGAGGTTGCCCATATGTATGTGCATACATAATCAAGATGCTGTACAACATGAACTAGCTAATCAATACCACAGCCTCACCTTCACCCTTGTGAGGTGGAAGACAGGGAACAGAAATTAAAGCAAAAATATTCAAAAGCATTCATATATAGTGGGTGCATCAAGTTTGTTTCTTTTTTCATGCATTGGTGGCTCAGAACATCAGATCCTAGGTATCTCCAGGCACATGCCCAAACACTAAGGCATCCTACGTTATCAGACACTTTTCATAACTTAGGCCTGTGTGACTTACTCAGGACCACCCAGCAACTAACTGAAAAGGTGAGGAATGAAACTCCCAGTCTTAGGTTCAAGTCACTAGGCTATGTTTGCCTTATATCTAGGGTGACTATATTTCCCTAAGCCAAATTTAGGACACAAAGGTGGGGGGGGGCCTGCCAGCGGTCAGGGCTTTATCCCTAAAGGGGGAGGCTACTGGCACTTGGAGCTTCAGCTCTGCAGCGTGTGTTGTGGGGAGAAGCCTCCAGTGTTGGGGGCTCCAGTGGCTGAAGCTCCAAGTGATGGCAGCTCCCCACCCTTCCTTCTCCATCAATGGTTATTAGCCATTAGGTCCATCAATGGCTATTAGCCATGGTAGGAATGGTTTCCCTAGCCTCTTTTGGAGGCTGGGAATGGGTGACAGGAGAGGGATTGCTTGAAGATTCCCTGCTCTGTTCACTTCCTCTGGAGCATCTGGTATTGGCCACTGTCAGCAGACAGGACATTGGGGTAGATGGACCTTTGGTCTGATCCAGTATGGCCGTTCTTATGTTCTCCACTGCAGGGAGGAAGTTCAGCCCCACAGCATGCAGGGTGAGGAGGGGAGCCACTGGTGCTTGCACATTCAGCCGCTGGAGCCCCAAGTGCTGACGGCTCTCCCTTTCCCACTGTGGGACTGAAGCACTGAGCGCTGGCAGCTCCTCCCCCTCTAATGCATGGGTAATATGGGATAATGTACCTGTTTTTTAAAAAAGTGAGGCCAGTGGGAGAAGGGCTTAAATAAGGGACTATCCCAGTAAAAACGGGATGGACGGTCACCCTACTTATATCAGATCATTTACCTAATTTCTCTTTTGGAAGATTCCCCAAATTTAGGCCTTAATTCTGCAAATAAGCCTATGTGATCCTAAAGGCATTCATCTTTCACATATGATTTGCTTCACCCCAAAGAGATTATCATTCTAGGAGGAAGGAAAGTCTAGCCAAGTAGTCAGGCTTCTTGCCTGACCTGTGAGAGACTCTTGTTCAAATCCCACCTACACAAAAGACTTTCTGTATGGCCTTAGCAAGTCAGTTAGCTTCTCTGTGTCTTGGTACCCCAGCTGTAAAATGGGGCTGATAGTACAATGTTATCTGGCACTTGTGGGGGTTGCTGGTTAATTGAATATGCCAGATACTCAAATTATTGCTCTGCCTCAGCCCAGAGGAAAAAAATGGCAACCAACTCCTGCTCCCTTGAGAAAGCTTGGTGGCTCTTCTCCACGAGGTACCACAGAGCCATCTTAGGTGTCAAACAGACAAGTGGACCAGCTGCCAGGGAGCCCTCCTCGACAGACTGCTAATGATGGCAGCCGGCAGTGCCAGCTGTCAGAAGCTTTGCAACGGCCAGTCACCTGGACAGGCAGGAGTCAGGCACCCTTGCCTAAAGATGCAGGGAGCAATACTGGTTAACCAAGTTTTCTGGATATTCAAGTCCCAGATAACATTGCTTTCATTACCTTATGGGGGTGCTGTGAGGATGAATACTTTAAAGAATGTGAGACATTACAGGAATAGAGACTTGAAGAAAATAAGTAACAATCTGGGAGAGTCTCAATACTTCTTGCTATTTTTAAATTCCTGTCTCTCAGTCCTAGTGGGGTGCCTACACACGTCCTTCCAGCCAATGCTCTACTATGTTGTTTAGTCAACCATGCATGCTGACAGTATAAATGCATTACATGGAACTGCGCTTTAGTCCATTTCCAGCAGCAGCCTATTTAATCCAATTTAAGAACATAGGAATGACCATACTGGGTCAGACCCATGATCCATCTAGCCCAGTATCCAGTCTTCCAACAGCAGCCAGTACCAGATGCTTTGTGGAATGAACAGAACAGGGCATTATTCCATGATCCATCTCCTTTCATCCAGTCCCAGCTTCTGGCAAGTGAGAGGTTTAGGGACACACAGAAAATGGGGTTACATCCTTGTCTACCTTGACTAATAATTGAACTTCTAGGAGCTAAAGCTCTATTTGAGACAGATCGCTGACTGGAAAGATGCATAGGGAACATCTGTTAGCCTCCATCAAGCTGTGAAGCTACTAGGTGTATGTCTACACTACAGAGTTTTTTTCAGAAAAATGGCCATTTTCCGAAAAAATCTTCACTTACATCCACACTGCAATCACATTCTTTCGAAAAAAAATCAAAAAAACAGAGGGGTTTTTCCAACATTGGTAAACCTCTTTCTATGAGGAAGAAACCTTTTTCCAAAAGAGATCTTTTGGAAAAAGGCGTTTGTGGATGAGGAAGAGGGAGTTCTTTCGAAAGAAGAGGAAAGACGAAAAAGCACAGGTGCTCTGGTGGACACTCCGTCCATAGTAATCACAGCTTAAATGCAAGAGAGTGTCCATTCAGGGTGGACACTATTTTTTGAAAAAGCAGATTGCTTTTTTGATGCACTTTAGCTGTGTAGATGATCTCTTTTGGGAGAAGTTTTTCCAGGTCTCTTCGTGAAAAACTTCTTCTGTAAGAAGCCTGCAGTCTAGATTGTAGCCTAGATGAGTAAGGTACAATACAATAGATGTAGGTACCATGTCCCCTGAGATTTTTTTTCTAACTGTTTCTTTCTACAGACCAAGGTCTATAAAGCCTACAGCTCATTTTTGCTAGCTATAAGACAGTAGATAACCCTGAAAAGCTGCTATATTTCACTTTCTCAATAACATCTATCTCACTTTTCCTGTGAACATTTCACAAAGTTAAAATCTTCATATTTCATACATATTTACATTTTGTACAGCATCTTAACACCGCTGTCTCAGCACATCATGGTATAAAATAACAGATGTTACAACATTGAGGCCTGATTCATCATTGTGCTACTCCAGTTTTATGCCAGAGTAACCCAGCTGAAAGTAGTAAAGTTACATCAGTGAAAAGTGGAGAAACATAATGGCAAAGTAAGTCCCTCTCCCTCCTACTGGACACGACACCATTGCAATTACACCTACTTATAACGCTTCCTTTTTTCCATTTGTAATGTCATCTCACTATGTAAATTATTCCTTATTTTTTATTTTAGGTTAATTTTTTTCTTCTATATTTCTTTCTACAGACATTCACCTTTCTTCCCCCCCCTTCTAGACGCGCTTTTGTGCAAAAAAGCCTCGATCGCCATTTTAGCCATCGGGGCTTTTTTGCGCAAAACAGTACTGTACTGTCTACACTGGCCCTCTTGCGCAAATGATTTGCGCAAGAGGGCTTTTGCCTGAACAGGAGCAGCATAGTATTTCCGCAAGAAGCACTGATTTCTTACAGTAGGAAGTCAGTGTCTTTGTGGAAATTCAAGGGGCCAGTGTAGACAGCTGGTAAGTTTTTCCGCAAAAGCAGCTGATTTTGCAGAAAAACTTGCCAGTCTAGACACAGCCCTACTGTCTGTATAAACAGTGGCGTGCTTTGTTTTTTAGTTACTAACAAATACAAAGGCTCTAGAAAGCTAAACTCCTGCAGTTCTTCACCTGAATTAGCACAATGCAACATTGTACATTGGCAAGATACAAAACTCACTTTCCAGAGTTGTTGGTGGCAGCTTTGTTTGCTTTGATTCTGTAAGCTGACAGGAGCAACTTAGTAGTTGCTGAATGATGGCTGGACTGATTTCCTTGAAGTGTTCCTTGGAAATGGAAGAAGAGTTGTTTTGTAAAAATATCTTCATAAACTCACTGGCAGTGAAGCAAGCCTATGTAGGAAAGTAAATGTGGTTACTAAATATAGATGCCATTAATGGAGTCTGATGCTCAGGTTAACTGTGAATTCGTGGGATTTTTTAAATGACATGGAATCGTGAACTTTAAAAAAAAGTGGATATCAAAGAAAAATCTCATTTTCAATTTGTACTGTTCTGGTTACATCTTTTAAAATCAAAGATAATGAAGTTTTGTTTATTGATAAAAACCATTATACATCATGTTCAATTTCACATTTCAATGGGCCAGATCTCCTGCTGGTGTGAGTCAGTGTCATTTCTGCTGAAGCCAGTTTACCTCACCCAAGGGTCCGGCCTATTATCATATTTAAATATGTATATAGCTTATTTCTCAATTAAGACTATTTTGAGGGCTAAAACTATTAATAGCAGCTAGCATTCATAGCTATTTAGTGTTAAAAGATGGCCTGTGCTGCCCCATTATGAGTCAGTAGAAGTTAGGAAGTTAGCAGGGTGGATATTTGTGGCGGTAGTGCAGTGAAGTTTTTTATGTCTGTGTCCTTCAGAACAGATAGAGCTAATGGGAATTATTAAGCTTTGCTTAAAAGCTCGAAAAAGGGAGTAGGGCTCCCAACATCTGGTACAGTAGAAAGATACCCTCCCCCCTTTTTACCATCCTCCCTTCACCCTTATATGAGGAGAGGGTGGCAGGATCCCAGCAATGCGCTAAGATGAATTGGGAAAGGGGAGGGCTGATGGAAGCTCTCCCAAATAGGTAGAAACAAGTGATGCAGATATGATGACCTATAAAGTGTGATTTATAGCTGGGATCTCCAGATAGTTTATATGAATGCAACCTAATTTAACTGCTCACTCACTCACTCACTTGCTCGCTCGTTCACTAAATCCTGTCTGCTATGAGCATGGGGGGAAGGAGGGACCCATGCCACCAGACTGTTGCAATCTGCCTCCACCAGAGAACAATAGGCAGGAAAACAGAGGAACTGCCCTACTGAAAAATAACTGTGGTCTATCTAAAAAGTACTGAGACACGGACAATAGCCAGCACCAGCTTCTCCAGAAGAAGGTACAAGACATCTTGCAGCAGGTTTGTGATGAGGTGACTGCCCCACACTGGGCTCTCAAGGGTTAATAGAGCCTTAGGAAGGCTGCACAAGAGGCAGCCTATCACATAAAGGCTTCTAAAAACAACCAATCAGGGCTGGGCAGGCAGTGTAAAAAGAGTTGCAGTGCAGAGCAGCTTGAGTTACTCCCTGGAACTTGAGGAGGGAGGAGGACTGGCAGCTTTGCAGGTGGAGGGCAACAAGCTTTTTGAACATAGTAGTGATGCAGGAAGAAACCCAGGGAGCTAAATGCAGCTCCTGGTAGGCTGCAGGAATCCACAGGATGAAGCCCTGATGCAAAGGCAAAGAGGGTGATAGGGCCCAGGAAAATCTATAGAGGAGTTGGAGGGGATGCAGGAAGTGGTAGCCATCTGTCAGGTCCCTGTGCTGGGAGCTGGAGAAGTGGGTGTACCCAAACCCACAATCACTACTGAGGAAGTGGCTGGATGAAGGGACTGTGATACTGTCCCCCTGGAAGGGGAGGACACAGAGTGTGGCACAATTGGAGGGCTCTGTCATGAAAAGAATGCTGTGGTCTTGGGAGTGATGTGGAGCCCTGGAGTAGAAGTGATGATGGTGAGACATCACCAGAAGAGGGTGCCCTGGCATGCAGAGCTAACTCCTGGGACATCCATCAGAGGGCACCGCAGTGGTGAATCAAATCCTGTCACATGTGGTCAAGAACTTGGGCAGTTGGTTACTCCTGAGAGCAGGGGTGGGCAATAATTTTTGCAGATGGGCCACTTAATGAATTTTGTTATGTGGCCATGTGCTGATTCCACCTGCATAAGGGGCAGGGCTGGGGACTAGCCTCCCTCCAGAGTTGTCTGGGGCTGAAGGCTTTGAATTAAAAACATAGCAAAGGGTTTGCATCTCCCAGCCCTGCTGCTATTGTGTTGCCTGGCAGCAGCTTGGGGTGGCTGTGGCTGTTTAAAGGGCTCCCGGATGCAGCACTATCCCAGCAGGGGCCAGAGCCATAAGCCTTGCTGTCAGGCAATGCAGTAGCAGTGAGGCTGTGACCCCTTTAAATTGCTGCTATTTAACAGGCTTGTGGCCCCAGTCCCTGCTGGGGTAGCACCACCATTGGGTGCTAGGAGCCATTTAAATAGAATCCTGTTGCCTGAGCCATTGCCTGGAAATTCGATGGCACGGGCGGCAGGATATAAATAGAAAGCAACCAGATGCCGTCCGCAGGCCAGATCAAAGTGTTTGATGGGCTGGATCCAGCCTCTGGGCTGCATCTTGCCAAACCCTACTTTAGAGAAAGGAACTGAGTGAGGGACTAAAACTGTTTGACCACTGTCCTTGATACATTGGGAACTGGAAAGACTACTTGAGAGAATAGTAAGCAAGGAGAGAAAATGGAGCTACAATATGCAGAAGCATGTTTTGCTGAGGACTTATATATCTTACTGGACTGGCCTTCATAGTTGGTACCCCTGAAAAAAGGGCTAAAAAGCAGTAAAGGCAGCTTTAAATCCTGTGGCTGTAGATACTCAAGATCCAACAAAACCAATGGGAGACACAAGACCTATAGGACCCAGCTAGCATAGCAGCAGATGTACTTATTCAAGTCACAAGGAAGGGGATCCATAGAAACTGCAGGGATCAAGAGGGGAAGGAAGGCACCCAGATCAGGAAAGCAGGATGATGTTACACATGTGGGTTACAAGAACAAGGTAAGGCAGAGTGGCCCTACTGGGATTGATGACGGAGGCCTCACCCAAAGAATGGGAAGAAAATAGAGGCAAGAGGAGGAGAAGAAGGAGGGGGATGTTCATATTGGGCCTGTGGGAAGTAGGGGCACCTACAGAAGAGATTGGCTAGACTTGATCTATAAGGCCAAAGCCAAGTTATAAGGCCCCAGGGAAGGGCTGAGCAAAGGAAGGACCATGGGAGCCCCTATCCAAAGGAAGGCAAAGAGTTGGCTGTCAGTACTATATGGAGGGCCATGTACCCCTACAAGAAGACAGGATAGCAAATGTGTGCCTGAGAACCAGGCTAGGCCTCTCAAGAGGGTTGCAGCAATGATGGCTGTGGACTTAGCAGAGAGCCATCTCCTCCATCTAGCAGGGATGTGGTAGAGAGGACCCAGGCAGACAAAGGAACCCATGCTGGAGCAGGACAGGCTGCAGTAGGGGTCCAGAACCTGGCGGAGGGAGGCAGATTGCTCCTCATGATAAAGAACCAGAGGCAGGAGAGGGACATCTTGCTGGTGTAATGCCAGCAGACCTCAGTCATCTGCAGGCAGAATCAAACCTAGGACCTCTAGAGCTTAGTGCACAAGTGTGTCAGAGTTGGAGCACTGTATCATGAAGAGGATGCCTCAGTCCTGGGTGTGGTGTGGGTCTCTGAAACAGAAGTGATTGTGGCAAGACATCACCAGAAGAAGGACACTGGCATTCAGAGCTAAGCCTTAGAACAGCCAGCAGGAACTGCTACAATAGTGAGTCAAGCCCTGTCACATGGCAGTTCCAGACTAATCTGTCTTTGGGGAAATTAACCCTTATTTATCAAAAGTTGTCATCTGCCCTGAAACACAAGGATTTATATGCCTTCCAAATGCAAGTGGGTGACTAGAACCTTTGCATCTTCTGCCATAACCCTAGCCTCTGTATGCCTTTTAATGTGAAGAGGAAAAGATAAGGGTCTTTGTTACCAGTGAAAGAAATCTATATGATCTTTGAAGGAATAATACAGGAAAAGATAAATACAGCTTACATTTTGTTTTACGGATAGATGCATAACTTCTTATTCTCTCACATAGACTTCTTTAATGAGAAGCTATACATCAACATATAGGCATGAGCTACATAGTGTTGTCTGACTAAATGTTAGAGCTCTTATTACTTCATCTTACTATTTGCTTGAGTTCTATATGAGCCTTAAAAATTATTGAAGACAAAGATGATTTTTAAAAGGTCTGCAGTGACCTATTTTTCTGGCATTATATATCAAAATGTGAAACTAATACCTGAAAAAAACTAAATTATATCCCTTAATTGAACTGGCAGAGGCAAGCAAGAAACCAGTCCATCTCTTGCATGTAACAGCATCTGTTACTAATGGAACACACTGGCTATCTTAGGGACATGGAAAACAGAAGATAAATTTAGCAACAACATTCAAATACAAATTCTTCTAAAGGAACAATCTGTCAAGGAAAATGTAAATAGTAAGAGGAGAAAAGGAATGAAAAATAGAAGCTGGATAGCAGAAAAGGATGGCAAATATCTTCTCTCCAAGCCTTTCAAAGGCTACACAAAATACTTTGGCTCTCAGCTTGACTGCCATGCCTGGAATAACTCCCCTGCATGCGTGCCCTTTGATTCAAGGACAGTCTTGGAAGTCCAAGTTCCAAAAAGTGCTCAGTTTTGTAAACTGGCCTTCTGCCTTGTATTCTTGGCATCACTACTGGCTTATGATATTCATTTAAGTTATTCTGGGGCCACATTTGCTCTAAACATCTACTTGGCTAATTGGCATGACTCTCCTTTGAGGTCTGCCAGAATGCAAATAATTATACTGATGGGATATGAATTCAACATAAAAATGAAATCATTCAGATAAACAACTGTCAGGATGGCATTGAGTCCGGGTGCAATTGTATCATCTCCACATCATAAAATGAATACTTAAATGAAAGCCAGATGCACATCTTTTATCCACTCACGGAAGTAAAACCACTAGACTTCTTAAAATGCATTATTAAGAAATGTAACCCCTTTGGAAGTGTTACTCTTGAAATGCCACATTAAGCCTATTGGGGATTTGCATCTGTACTACAGCAGCAATGGCTACAGAGGCTCAAATTCTATTTCCCAGATTGCCTGGGCTCCTGGCCAGAGACAGAACTGAAAGAAACACCACAAGAACCAGTCAGAGACAATGGTTCATTTTTATTTTTAGGGTTTTGCCTTTTTTTGTTTGGAGACAGGGTAGCAGGGAAAGGAGCTACAAGGCAGGGAGAATCCTTTGACCCGCCATATTCCTCCCAAGGAAAGATTTTGGGATTTCTGAGGCACTGGGTCACACCAAAGACCAGAAACCCAAAAGGCTGAGGAAAGTCAGTGTCCAGCTACCAAGAGCCAATCTAAACCAGAGCTCCACAAGGACAGTCTTACCATCCCTGGCGTAAAGGCTTTATTTAATTTGATATTGCATGTTAAGCTGGCCAATTTCAGTTCTGCACTGCCCAGCACAGACTGAGCCTAAACTATTTGCCTAAGCAGATGCTGGGAGGAAGCAAAGCACAATTTTTGTTAATGTAAATGTTAAGCAGGGTATTTTGTTTCTGATATTTTCATAGTGAAGATTGATAAATTTGTTAACACTTCCTAAATAAATCATTTAAAAATGCTTAGCAGAAAAGAGCAGCAGTCTCAAACTTCCAGCCTGTAGGCCAGTCCCAGCTAGAGTGATTGTGCAGTTCTGCCTGGGACTCCTGGCAGGCCAGAGGGGGCCTGTCCATTACTAGCCCCACAAACTTCATCTCTTCCCACCATTGCTCTGCCCATGGCATCCTGTCCTCCAGGCACGTTGCTTTGGTGATCTCCAAGGTGGGCCTGGAATGGCAGAGTGGCAGCGGTTGTGCCCCCTCCCAATTCCAAGTGGAAATGGAGTGCAGAGAACAAGTGCACATGCTGAGGTATGCTCTACTTCTCCCACAGCTCCTGTCACCACAGGGAGTGCAGGAGGAAGGCAGCACCCAAAAGAACAGAACAGGGGCCTGAGGGAGCACCCAGCTAGCAATTATAATTTTGGCAGAGGCACAGAGGGACAGTGCACCTCCCAAATGCTACCACAAGTCATTCTCCACCTATGGAGAAGGTGGCAACCATATTGCAGGACTGGGTTACTCAAAAGAAGGAAAACAAGCCTACTTTACTAGATAGATACTATCTGCTTTGACTTGAGTCCAAAGTGCAAAGGCTTTTAGAAATGTGCAAAATTCATAAATGTTACTCATTGAAGTGATTTACTCTTTGTACTATATATTTGCAAGCCAGCCTGAACTTTTGTAACTGACATTGAATTCCAACAGTCAGTAATAGCAGTAACAAATAAATTAACCTGATCCCAGTCAGCTCTGTTTTCATTATCTTCACGATAACCACTTATATTTTCTCCATTCGTCTGTCTTGATGTGATTGGAATCTTTAAATATTCAACATCTCTGACTGTCATGCCATGACGTCTTCCTTTGTTCATTTGTCCATTTGTGTTGCAAGTTCTTCCATCCCTCAGCCTGCTGAGAAGTTGATCTATTTCTAGGAATTTATAAGAAAATGTGGTGAACCTTGTTATAAACACAAATGAAAGCGAAAGATTAAACTGCAATTATTCAAAATGTCAAAAATAGTATAGAACTTCCCCAAAATTATTCCTAGAACAGAACTTTTAGAAACACCCAACCTTGATTTCAAAATTGTCATCGATGGAGAGTCTATCACAATATTTGCTGAATTGTTCCAATCGTTAATTATCATCACTGTCAAAAATATACACCTTGCTCTATTCCCAGGTCATTGATTAAAAAAAAAACGTTAAATAGTGTAGTGCCAAGAATCAATCCCTGTGAATTCCCTTTGGAAACACACCTGCCTGATGATGATTCCGCATTTACAATTACATTTTTGAGACTTATTGGTTAGCCAGTTTTTAATCCATCTGTTCTGCACCATGTTAATGTTATTCATGCTTTGTTGGCGCAGTCAGATTGGTCACAGGATATTAAAAAGACAAGGTGAGTGAATTAGTATGTTTTGTTAGACCAACGTCTTAGAGAGAGAGACAAGCTTATACAGAGTTCTTTTTCAGATCTGGGAAAAGTACTCACAGTATCATGTCTAAATACAAGGTGGGACAGATTGTTTAGTATAAGCAGTTACCTCATATTTCAAGGGACTATTCAAAATTAAATGGTCTTTAAAACCCCTGAAGGAATAGAGGGAAAGGAAAGGAGATGAAGGCAACTTGGGAGGCAGGGCAGGGGGTTATAGACTGCTTTAAAAATACTGCAAATCTAGTAACTGTTTTACTCCATGATTTTTAGTGGCTAGCAAAGTTATGAATTGACACTCCCTACGCTCATCATTGGAAGGTTTTCTGGAGACTTCCTGTGAGAGTGAGGACTGAGATCACATCGAGAGTGATTTTTTGGTGAATAGTGCCTACCCACAGGTGATATGATGGTTTTGTCTTTTGTTACATTCATTCAGGAGCATAATGATTGTCTGGTTTGTCCAAATAGTTGTTATTGGGCATTTAGTGCACTGGTTGAGGTACACTAAACATGATAGGCATGTGTAAGAGCATGGATCTTGAAGGTGTGTTTCTGAGTGTTGATCATCATGGCAGTGGAAATATGTCTACAGATTTTGCACCTGTAATTGTGGCAGGGTCTGGTGCAGCTTTTAGTTGGTCTCATCCAGTCTGTGGGAAACTTGCTTCTGATGAATTTCAAGAGACTGAAGCATTTTTTGTATCCTCCCCACAGCTGTCTTCCCTCCTCCCATTTTTCACCCTATAACTGGATGGCTGTCAATGGACCACTTCTCCTTGAATGATACCTACAAAATTGTTCTGCTAAACAACCTCTTCCACCTTGAATTTAGTTGTGACACTCTGAGGCCTTGTCTTCACTCCACAGAAGATTAACACTGCTGTGATTGATTTTCTGGAGTTTGATTGAGCAAGTCTTAACTAGACTTGCTAAATGAACTCGGAGGGCACCCTGCCGGTAGCTGATACTCCTGCTACTGCTATGGGGATGTGCCAAGCTTGGCTTAACGTAACTCGACTCCAGCTATATATGTTGTGTAGCTGGAATTGTGCACGTTAAGTTGAGCTTCCACTCTAGTATGAGTATGATTGTAAGACCTGAAGAAGAGCTCTGCAGAAGCTTGAAAGTTTGTCGCTTACCAACAAAAGCTGGTCCAAGAAAAATATTGCCTCATGTTAATTTTAAATATTTAATAAAAAATGTGTGACACCAACTCAAAACACCTTACAGAAGATTAAGTATCTTATCAAGCAAACTTGTAAGCTTATCAAAGAAGATATTAAGTTAGTCTGCCAGGAGCTATTATTCATAAACCTATGTTAATATGCATTAATTACATCACACTTCTTTAATTTTTTATCAATGAAGTCCCGTATTAGCTGCTCCATTATCTTGCTCAGATCTTGCTGAAAGGCCTATAATTACCAGAGTTATTCATTTACCCTTTTAAAAATTGGCACAACATTACTTTTCTTCCCCAGTGTTCTAATACTTAAATAAATCATCAGTGCTGATTTTCAATAACAATGCTTTTAAATTTGAAAGATCCCATCTTGGCAGCTCTAGAGTATGAAGTCATCAACACAGTAAGCAGTTACTTCTCCACACTGCCGTATTAATGTTTTCAATTTCACGATCTCTAGGAGATAAGAAGCCACCAGGCAATTTACCCTAATATACATGTAATCAATGATAGCACTGCTGAAATTATCAATAAGGATCCAATAAATAGTGTCCACAATCCTGCAAGCTATTGTATGCGGCTAGATCATTGCAGAATGAGGGTCGTGGTGATTTTTTGAACTGGAGTCTTGGCTATTAAGAACTGGGATGAGCACTCCAATTAAGTTCAGACAGGGTATTTACCCACCAAGTAGACGTTAAGAACCTTTCTACATGACAATACTTTGTTTTATAACTTTCTTCATTATTTAGAACAATTTATCCACATCAGTGCTTGAAAAATGTAAATATTTCTATTTACCTCCCTTCTGTTGAGGAAAAAGAATTTGAAGTCAGCTAAAGCTTCTTTCTAAAAGTAGTCACTGTAATCAATTTTAGTTTAATGTCTTTTCTATATATGACCAATTCTAGCTCTTTCTTCCATTTTATATTTGAAAATTAAATACATTTAAAAGAGGCATGCCAATGAGCTCAGATTTAAAATAGTCTCACTGGAGGCTGATGCCATCAGGATGTGGGTAGAGAAAAATAATACATAAAGGATCTATGAGTAAAGATCAGAAAAAGACAGAGTGAACAAACTTCATCTGCCTTGAGAATCTCCTGATACCCCTAATCGACATCTGCCAGATACAGTCTCCAGAATTGTTTGCTCTAGGCAAACGAAGGTCACCTCATATATGATTATTACTGTTTATTTTATAGGATCCAAAAGGATTTCAAAATGAAGAAGGCGCTTGTCTCCCCAACCTTCTCCTTGCATTTATAAGTGTTCTATCTATCAAATACAAGAAGAAGTGGTCATTAAACACTGATTTAAGGAGAACCTAAAATGTACTGACACAAAAGGCAAACCTGTAATACACGGAACTACCTGTTACTTGAAGTTCATTACTGCTGTTTAGAGAATTGAAAATATATTTTACAAAGAAATCTGGAGAGGGCAAATGTGTTTTCCCGAGGCAGACTCCTTGGAGAGCCAAAGTAATGATTGTAGCAGCCAGGCGAGGAAGTGTATTTTCATCAGCACCATCACTGTCCAATATGTCAGCAGCTTTCTCCACAATGCTTACATCAACACACTGAAAACAGAATAAAAATTTAGTTTAGAAGTTCTTGGTCACGTTAGTGTAAATCATCAGACAGGCAGGGAAAGAAGAGAAGAAAGTAATGCAGAAACCCAGGGTGGGAGTTATTAGGATAGAGGGAATAAGCAACAGCATGAGAAGCAGAGGAGACTCAAGGAGAATGAAAATGGAATACAGGACCTGAGATTATGCTCTGATGAGGTGGTCAGAGAGCAACATAAGGTCCATTTCAGTTATGTAATGAGGAGGAAGCCAGTTTGAGAAAAAGGCAAAGGAACTTGTGACAGTAATTACAAATACAAAATTCAGTTAGCTATTCAAGTTATTTTTATTTTATGTTATTTTCTTACTATTGCTTCTTACTTATTTTTCTTGTCCAGTTGTGATTTAGAAACATTTAAGGCCAGATTTTCATTTTGCTTTAAATGTGCTGCAGCCTCATAAGTGCACCATTGCGAGTGGCGGGTCCATTTGCCATAGACACCAGCCACAGACACATACACATGGGACCCTGCTTTGGCTAGCAGATAGTTGGTTGATCATGTATTATTTATTAATGATAAATTATCAATTTTAACAAGCACCTATGAGCATTAATCCTGGACCAGGACCCCACTGTGCACCATGAAGAATAGTAAGTATTCCTAATGTCAGATTCACTGCCAATACACCTCCATACATGCTGAAGATTTTTCTTTCCTATCAAACTGAATATATTAGTTGCTATGGTGAGAAGGAAACCCGTTTTATACAAATATCACATTTTAAAATGGACGAACGTGGTTTTCTTTCCCTGGATCACCTACCAGAGCCACAGATGTTGTAATTTAAAGCATTAGATAGGCTGTAATGATTTCACTACTTTTCTCAGAGTCTCCTCATTCTCCTGTCTATGCACGACAAACTCACAGACACTAAACAGACATACTGAGTGCACTGCCAATGTAAACGAATAGATCACACTGTAGAGCACTGTATGGATTGTTACTCCATGTTGACACGCCATAATACCCACCAACACCTCTTTATCATTGCCAAGATACTGTTTGAGTTCTTGGAAATCAGCACGCTCACTGAGACTTAGAACCAACTGTACCAGTCAATGAATAATTTATGATGAAAAGATTACACAAAGCACATGAAGAAAAAAAGGAACTGCAGGCCTTCTACTTTATGCCACATAGCTAGTGGCGTCTTACAATTTTCCATTTGCCTAGATTGCTGCTACCAAGGTGTGGTGTAAATTAAAGAGCAGTGAGATCGAAAAGAAAAGATGAATTTCAGAGTCAGCATCTGGTCAAGACAGAACTGTGTAGCATACAAAGAACTGATGGATTTTCACAACATGTCAATGTACATTATAGTAACTCCCTACCTTTTGAAATCTGCTAAATGGTTTTGATTACTGTTCATTGTTAGAGGAGTAGGTTATTTGGACTGGAAGTTTTTGTAGGGCAGGGACTGTCTATCATTCTGTGTTTGTACGGCACCTGGAACAATGGAATCCTATTCTTGGTTGTTCCTGGCACTGACATAAATAAATAACAATAAATAATCAGTGAGTGATACCTGTCATGTATTTCCTGATTTTTAAAGGATGTTTACAGATAAATATAATGAATACATTATTTGCCATTCCTAAGGCAAAGTTAGTCTACTTTGGTTAGACTCCTTCTTCTGCAGGAACTGGCTATGGTAGGTAGTTTAGCATCAGATGTATCTGCCATGTCAAAGAAACAGCCACATCTTTAGCCAAATTCCCTGCTCTATCCAGTATTTGATCAATGTAGCACAGTGAGGGAGCAGCAGGGAACTGGTTAGAGAAAATTAATTCTCTTCTCCATCCCTAGCTCCAGTGCAGATTAGATTAGCCCAAGGGCTGCTCTATTTTGTTGCAGGTGGAGCTCCTAGGGACTGCTTTATTGGACTGCAATTTGATGACAGAACTAGGCATTAACCTGTAGATCCATGGTGTCCAACCAGTTCTGCTACTGTGATCTAGCCACACTCAACTATCCAAATAGTCACATTATCAAGCCAACTAGTCATGTTCAACTGGCCAAATAGCCACATGTGGCTACTGGCTAACGTGTTGGACACCACAGCGGTAGATCTTTGGTAAGTGTTTTGAAGTGTTTACCTGGCTTTCAGGGATTTTAAAATGTTGTCTTATTGCAGCCAAAATATCTTCAGTTTCATTCCGTGAGAAATAATAGCAGTTTTCATCACGCCTTAAACTGAGCATGCTGTGTAGATAAAATTTATAATCCTTGTTACTCAGACTGAGGTGTGAAGAACAGATATCTTTTTGATGAATAATATAATAGAGAAGAATGATGGAAATTTTCTGGAATATTTCTTCACTGAGATAGTCTTCAGAATCTCCACCGGCTATTAATAACAAAGCATCTGGTTCAAGGCACTGTGAATAATTAAAACAAATGGAAATTAGTTTCAAATAACATGCCATTATTAATCTACTGAAAATAGGATTAGAGAACAGAATAGGAGAATTCAATTTTATCCAAGGGAATGGTCTTGAGACTGCACAGACACTGCGTGGGGTGTGTATATAAGGTAAAATGTGATGAGCAATATGGATAGTAGGGGAAGCACACGGCAATCTAATCTTGGAGTAATGAGGGCTGCAGCATGGCTGCCAAATCACTCTCCAAGTCTCCTTTCATGTCTGTGTCTACTCGTGTGCAAGGGGCCAGATGCTCAACAGATTCAAGATTTAATCTCACTGAGGGCCTGTTCCACTGAGTGTTGTAGTCTGTTTAAAGACCCACATTGACATCATGAGGCATTAATTCTGGCCCTTAATGCAGAGGACTACAACTAGTGCTTAACCTTAGTTTAACTGCTTCAGGCCCTGCACTTGCACTTGTGTGGGGGTTTGTAGAATCAAGACCCAAAAAAGCGGAATTTGGATCTGAGTTATGTCAGTTTGAGTTAGTGGTTCTCAAACTTTCTGGGGTCAGTCTCCATTTGTAAATATTGATGGCCTGTCACAACCTGGTAAATGGGTCAGAGATTGGGATTGTGTTCTGCAGCAGAGTGTTTCAGGGAAGGGAGTGATGGCCTGTGGCAGCCTAGTAAATAGCCCAGGGCAGTGAGGCCCTCGCTCCAGACTATGTGATGTGATAGAGGGCAATCCTGGAAGGGGCTAGATCCTGTGGGGCTGACTGGACTCAGCTGAGTACCTATAGTGAGGCAGTTTGGCCTCCCTCTGATACGGATGCAGAAAGGCTCCCTAAGACCCCTTGGTGGGCAGAGCCAGAATCACTCAGCCCCACTCACAAGAAGTGGCAAAGCAGGATCGGGAGTATAAGAGTATGAGCTCAGAGCTCCGTTGTAGTCCAGCCACAAAGCAGTCCAGATGTTCGGCCCAGGCTCACCAGGAGGAAGGCCCAACTGCCCTGTCCTAGAAGGGAGAACTGGCCTAGGCTGCTGCCGGGCCCAGAGGACGAGCCAGGACCAGGGTCATTGCCAGGTCTCGGAGATTGGCCTGGATTCCCAGGACCCCTACCAGGCTCAGGAAATTGGGCTTCACCACCTGGACTGCTGCTCAACCTGGACCCAAAGATCTTTGGTAAGTGTTTTGAAGTGTTTACCTGGCTTTCAGGGATTTTAAAATGTTGTCTTATTGCAGCCAAAATATCTTCAGTTTCATTCCGTGAGAAATAATAGCAGTTTTCATCACGCCTTAAACTGAGCATGCTGTGTAGATAAAATTTATAATCCTTGTTACTCAGACTGAGGTGTGAAGAACAGATATCTTTTTGATGAATAATATAATAGAGAAGAATGATGGAAATTTTCTGGAATATTTCTTCACTGAGATAGTCTTCAGAATCTCCACCGGCTATTAATAACAAAGCATCTGGTTCAAGGCACTGTGAATAATTAAAACAAATGGAAATTAGTTTCAAATAACATGCCATTATTAATCTACTGAAAATAGGATTAGAGAACAGAATAGGAGAATTCAATTTTATCCAAGGGAATGGTCTTGAGACTGCACAGACACTGCGTGGGGTGTGTATATAAGGTAAAATGTGATGAGCAATATGGATAGTAGGGGAAGCACACGGCAATCTAATCTTGGAGTAATGAGGGCTGCAGCATGGCTGCCAAATCACTCTCCAAGTCTCCTTTCATGTCTGTGTCTACTCGTGTGCAAGGGGCCAGATGCTCAACAGATTCAAGATTTAATCTCACTGAGGGCCTGTTCCACTGAGTGTTGTAGTCTGTTTAAAGACCCACATTGACATCATGAGGCATTAATTCTGGCCCTTAATGCAGAGGACTACAACTAGTGCTTAACCTTAGTTTAACTGCTTCAGGCCCTGCACTTGCACTTGTGTGGGGTTTGTAGAATCAAGACCCAAAAAAGCGGAATTTGGATCTGAGTTATGTCAGTTTGAGTTAGTGGTTCTCAAACTTTCTGGGGTCAGTCTCCATTTGTAAATATTGATGGCCTGTCACAACCTGGTAAATGGGTCAGAGATTGGGATTGTGTTCTGCAGCAGAGTGTTTCAGGGAAGGGAGTGATGGCCTGTGGCAGCCTAGTAAATAGCCCAGGGCAGTGAGGCCCTCGCTCCAGACTATGTGATGTGATAGAGGGCAATCCTGGAAGGGGCTAGATCCTGTGGGGCTGACTGGACTCAGCTGAGTACCTATAGTGAGGCAGTTTGGCCTCCCTCTGATACGGATGCAGAAAGGCTCCCTAAGACCCCTTGGTGGGCAGAGCCAGAATCACTCAGCCCCACTCACAAGAAGTGGCAAAGCAGGATCGGGAGTATAAGAGTATGAGCTCAGAGCTCCGTTGTAGTCCAGCCACAAAGCAGTCCAGATGTTCGGCCCAGGCTCACCAGGAGGAAGGCCCAACTGCCCTGTCCTAGAAGGGAGAACTGGCCTAGGCTGCTGCCGGGCCCAGAGGACGAGCCAGGACCAGGGTCATTGCCAGGTCTCGGAGATTGGCCTGGATTCCCAGGACCCCTACCAGGCTCAGGAAATTGGGCTTCACCACCTGGACTGCTGCTCAACCTGGACCCAAAGCCCATGGACACTCTGCCAGTGCCATTGTCCCCAGAGAACCCCGAGGAGTAGAGGCTAAGCCAGGTTGGCCCATAGGGGGAACTGGGACATGGCCCAGGGGGAGTCAACACTGGATCAGCTGAGAGTTTGGAGGTCAACTGGGCAGTGCATTGCGGTCAGGATCCCCGCAGACTCAGTGGTACCCAGTGCTACCACTGTTAGGCCCCTGGGCTGGGATGCAGTGGAACGCGTGGGCTTCTGTCCTTCCTACCGCCTTGCCACTCCTCACCTAGGGTGTGCCTAGACTACAGGGTTTTGTCGACAAAAGTGGACCTTTGTCAACAAAACTAAACCTGCGTCTACACTACCGCTGAGTTCTGTCGACATAACGTCGACAGAACTCAGCAGTTTTGTCGACGCCGGTAAACCTCATTTTACGAGGCATAACGCCTTCTGTCGACAGAGTTGCATGTAGGGTTGTGTCTAGACTACAGGGTTTTGTCGACAAAGCAGCTTGCTTTGTCGACAGAACTGAATGTAGTCTAGACGCTCTTTGTCGACAGAAGCTTTGTCGACAGTATTTGTCAACAAAACTTCTGTCGACAAAACGCTGTAGTCTAGACGTACCCGTAGGGTGGTAGTCCCCCCATTCCCCATGCAACAATTAAGTCACCAGAATAAGGCTTAAGCAAGATTGAAGTCATGCATAGGTCCTCGTGGCTCTCTCTACTGGGGTTAATGATAGGTATAATAGTTTAAAAACAAAATAATTCAATGCCAATAAGGCACCATCTCTCCCCACACTCAGACCCCTTCCAATGTCACCATAGGCAAAAGTTTTTATGAGCAGACAGGCCTTACAAGTGTTCCTGGAAAACCAGTAAGCCCTTTCGGACCAGGGGTAAGTGGGTGAGCAAATTCTAGAACAGAAAGCCCCTTCCTGAAAGTATCTTGCTACTGTTGTGATTTATAGGACATATCAGTTGGTCCCATTGAAAGGATGTTACTATCACCCTCTTGGTTAACTCTAAGTGTAGCTTGAGCACTTGAGTTGATCTCCACTCTCATGGCAGATCACAAGAACTTTAAATAGACGTGCTGTAACAATTTTCATAGTAGGGGTGCTGAGAACCAATAAACTCTGTATTTTATGGAAACCTTTTAAAACCTGGGAACATGCCATAATACCCACCCCCAGCACCTCTAGTTCCAGCATCTATATCTCTAAGATAGACAGAAGTACCTACATCATACACAGTCAGTAGGTAAGATTCACCAACACGTTTCATATATTTTGCCTCACTCCAATGAGTCAAAGCATCTAGAAAACTAGTTTACTGGATGTTTATGGCTACAGACATTGTGTATTCATTTATCTGATACACAGTATATGTCAAAATCCATTCCTTGAATGTTTGCCCACAAACGTGAATCAAATGCAAATTATGGAGCTCAGGTATCATATCCTCCCTCAACTATGGGTAAGTGAGAGAGCTGAGACATTTTAATAGAAATATTTCCAACTTAAATCCACACCAAGAGTAATGTCAGAAAAGGATACGCTCTGTGGATGCCAATAGCTGAATTAAAAGACAGGACTATGCAGCACTTTTAAGACTACCAACATGGTTTATTAGGTGATGAGCTTTCGTGGGCTGTCTTCAGAACCAGAACCAATTTGATTGTATCCCTTTGGTATATATGGTCATGCCAATTTTCTTCCACATTGTGATCTGAGGAAGTGGGTCTGGCCCACAAAAGCTCATCCCCTAATAAACCATCTTGTTAGTCTTTAAAGTTTTGCATAGTCCTGTCTTTTAATTCAGCAAGACCAGACTAACACAGCTACATCTCTGTTACTATTCTAATAGCTGAATTAAACATTCACACCGGTGAGTATATTAGATTAGGCTTTGTGCCCTGTCTATCATGGCTATCAGCAACTCCAATATTAGCCTTTATTGACTGACCCTCTGAATCAATGGCCATTTGCTTGATGTTCCTTAAGCAACATCTGGCATTCCTCTCTGCCAAGTGTACAAAAAAGGCATGTGTACTTCTGTTTTGATGACATGCATTAACATAATGAGCAGTTCTGTGGCACCTTAGAGACTAAGAAATTTATTAGATCATGAGCTTTAATGGGTAAAACCTACTTCATCAGATGAACTGAAGTGGAAATTACAGAATCCAGGGTATCTATAACAGCAAACAAGTTATCTGTCAATTGTAGGACCAGTGTTGATTAAGTCAGGCTGAATGCATCTCATTCATAGCATTTGATGTGGACATGTGAATATCAAAGGTGAGGAAATTGCAGTGCATTAACCAGTTAAGATCTTTATTTCAAGCCTAAGTTGATAGTGTTGAATTTGAAACTAGATGCATTACAATGACTGTCTTTGTGTATTATTGTTTTGGACTAAGAGAAATACATTTAATTCTTCTAGCTCATTTCCCTAAAGGCCTCATGTTAAGCCAATCTAACCTTTCAATTTTATGCTGTGGGGAATAAAGGCAAATATAGTGTATGGGTGAAATTTCTATAATTGTACCTCAGGGTTTAGAAAGGATAACTTGAAGTCATTAAACGATGTTGATATTGGCAAGCAAGATGCTTGAAAAGGTAGTTGTTAATGGGAGGGCAACAGGTGCACTGAAAGAGCTGCGGTTATCAGAGAATGTGATGTCCTCCACTGGGAATACCTTAAAGAACATAAGAATATAAGAAATGCCATACTGGGTTAGACCAGTATCTGGTCCATCCAGTCCACTATCCCAGCAATGGCCAAGGCAAGATGCCTCAGAGGGAGTGGACAGAACAGGTAATCATCACATGATCCCTCTTCTGTCATCCATTTCCAGCCTCTGACAAACAGAAGTTAGAGACACCATTTCTACACATCCTGGCTAATAGCCATTGATGGACCTCACCTCCATGAATTTATCTAGTCCTTTTTTGAACTTTGTTAAAGTCCTGGTCTTCCCAACAGCCTCTGGAAAGTAGTTTCACAGGCTGATTGTTTGCTGCATGAAGAAAAACTTCATTTTGTTTGTTTTAAACCTGCTACTTATTAATTTCATTTGTTGGCCCCTAGTTCTTATGTTATGGGAATAAGTAAAAAACTATTCCTTATTCACCTTTTCCACACCAGTCATGACCTCTATCATATCCCCACTCAGTCGCCTCTTTTCTAAGTTGAAAAGTCCCAGTCTTTTAAATCTCTCTTCATATGGCACCCATTCCAAACTCTTATAATTTTTGTTGACCTTTTCTGAAGGTGACAGGGGAATATAGAATTGATTCATCATTGGTTATTTTGCTGCTGTCAGCTTGCCGAAGCCACAAACACCTGCATGACCTTACTTTCAGAATGCTTATTTTCTAAAATAAACAAGCCCCTTTCTGAACTCTTTATTTTTGAGGAATATAAGTAAGAATTCCGCCACCACAGAAGAATGTCATTTTTGTGCACCCGGACGATAGAGGAACTGCAGATACTGCTTAAGGAGCGTCAAGCACATGGCCATGGATTCTGAGTGCCAATTAGTAAAGAAGAAAGAAAGGGTTTAGTAAAAGCATCAGGCCATGATTTAAATGCAGGATGGAGTCTTGTTTGCAAATTAAATAATATAAAAAAGCAATGGCCTGTAATTGTTAGAACCCCTGATTCGGAAGGGAAATGTGAGTCTGATTGTTTCATTACATTTTGGCTTTGTTGGGAGGAGGAGAGAGCTGGGACTCTCATCACTCTCACTGTTTGGGAAGCTCCAGTGCCAAGGAGGAGGGTTAACTTCTGGTTCTGAAGACAGCAGATGTTTCAAGATCAATTGTTGTCACATGTTTTCCTCCATTTTAAGCATGTGTTAGTTCATCTTACAGGCTTTCAAGCTTATAAAAAAGCCACTGTCAAAGTACCATTTGTCAAAGCGAGCCCAGCAGAAACTCTGAAAAGGGTTCAGAGTTTCTCCTTTGCTACCTGCCACTAGTCCCTGTACTTTCTATAAACCTTGCCCCATAGTGGAAGAATGTCAAGGAAATTCCCATTTCCCTATGCAGGAACAACCCCTGTATTTACCTTTCATCTTTCACACTGATCTTGATCTGCCTGAACAAAACAATTTTATCAAAACCACCCCTAAACCTTGAAGACTGGGGAAATGGATTAAGTCCTGAGCAAACCATGGGGTGGGTTTTAGTTCTGCAAAATAACAAGCAGAATGATGACATTACACAAAACCATTCCTATTTCTGCCCGTCCATTGACAATGTAAATTTCTTTTCATGTTTCAAATTCAAGCTAATGATACAACTGTAGGACACAGTAAAGAGTGGAAAACCATAGTTTGAAAATAAATATCTGAAAATTTGGCAGTGGATTATATTACCAATAAGTGACAGATGAATGGATCTAAGTTTTTAAGGTGTACCTGAAGTACTCAGAGGCTCTATTTACAAGAATAAATAAGCAATATAAATTATTAGTAAACAATCAATTGCAGCTGTTCAATTTTTTGGAAGAATGAATTTCACCCAAATAAATTGTTTCAGAATTCACATTTTAAATGTACTCTTCATTAACTGATACACTAACCAGATTACAATCCTCCTGTATCCCATAAATCCACTGTGGACATTCAGTTCTCTCCAGTAATATTTTGATCAGTTTTCTTGAATGATTCTTGTGGATCTCAGTGTAGTTGTCAGCTGAAAGAATGCGTAAAACTTCTGTCAGATAGCCTTGGCTTGGAGTATAGCTGCTTTCTTGCTTGTGCTCTTTCCTAGGCTGTGCTTCTGCAGTAACCACACCAAATATGAAAGCTGAACACACCACCCAAGCTAGATACTTGGTCAGAAAATACATTTTCTCCTTGCCTATATGTCCGTGTTGAGGGTTGAAATGTGGTGTGTAGTTCACAGCTTAAAGTTGAACCCTGAGGAATTTGTATGGTAAAGAAAAACAAAAAACATTTAATTAGAGTGACTGCAATATGTATGAAAGGATTTATTAATTGGATGGCTAAGCTGATTTGCAGTGACAAGCTGTTTCTGAACAACGGGTGTTTTGTAGGGACTTTACAGCTTGAAACAGCAGGAAACTAAGATGACAGTGGCCTTAAAAATGCAGTGGAATTACTGGAAAATGGTTAAAAGGAGAGGCTATCCTCTACATTTTGTAAGTTTTAAATATAATACCCATTTTTCATTTCCCTGTTACATTACTATATTTGATAAAAATCTCCTTTAGTAAGTGCAGGAAAAATACCATTGCTTTCTCTTTTACTCCATTATGAAACAGAGTCCGGAGGGCTGGTAAATGTGCTTGCATATGAGGGCAAATACAGCATTGTTCAGGAATTCTCATATAAATCATTAGTACTGATGCCTAGCAATGACTTCTAGTGATTTTTATCATAAAAGCACTTTAAAAACATTAATTAACATGAGTTATAAAGCTGACTAAAAACAAACACAAAGCATTTTAAGGGGAAATTGATGATGTCAGAGGAAAGAGTTGTAAAATTGCTTTAGTTATGCCATTCATGCAACTTGAAAAATATAGAAATGTCCCGAAAGCAACCAGTTCTCACTTTTAATAATTCTAGATGGAAAGATAGCATTCCAAACTGTAAAAGCAAACTACCCTTGCCATATCTTTCCTAATATGCTGTAGGATCTGTCCTTTCTGTAATCTATGTTGATACAGGAATATGCCAGTTGTATAAGAATTCAGTGTTTGTTTTCCACTAAAGTTTTCCCATTACTGAGAAGCAGACTTTTGGAAATATACATACATATGTTAAAGAGCCACATGCAACATCTGTTTCTTTTCTCTGTACAATAATACAGATCTGATTTCCTTTTTTAAAATGCTCTGCTAACAGATTGCTAACGTAATACTTTAGCTGAATTATAAATTGGCATGCATTCTGATAAAAATTATCATGGTATACCACACTGTGAAAGTTTTGGTATTTCAAAACTTATTTTAGCTTTAAAAGTTAGCATTTAGAAATAAGCATCACAATTATAGGGACATAACCACTTCTAATATTGTTTTCTTACCTTCAGTAGAAAAAAAAAAAGGATGACTCTGTACTTCTAGCTTTATGGCCTTTTGAATCCCCAAAAGTATTTAGCTGCTGGAAAGTCTGATGTTTTTAAAATTCCTTGATGGTGCTCTGGAAGCTGGAGAGGATTAGTTTATTCCTGCCTTGAAAAGTTTTCAGTTGCTATGGAGAAAGCTGTTCTTAAGGTAACAATAGAGGTGGATAGGAATTAGTACATGTTCTTCTTGGCAGGTTTTAGGCATCACATTATTGACTGTATTTAGCTAATTATTTTGGTAGTTATCATTTTCTGTAAACATTCCCTATTTAACATCAGCAGATGGCAGGATATATGGTATCTGCTAAATAATACATGTTGTAGCAGATAATGTACGTGAGAACATGAGAATACCAGTTTCTCTACATTATTAGAACATGGAAGCAGTTTTATAACATATCTGAGAAAAAAAACTATATTCCTGTGTTAACTGAAATCTTTGTTTGGTTGCAACTGAGAAATCAGAGTAGAAATATTTTCTGGCAGCTCTTTAGAAACACATTTTTCTTAAAGGGTCACTTTTCATGGAGAATGGGCCCCAAACATTGTATTTGGTAAAATAAACAATCAAAATCAGAGATTATCAAAAGTCCCACCTGTGCCAAGGTTCAAGAGTTAGACTTGGTACAGATGATAAAGTAGAAAAAAGGAGAAAGAAACCCTCCCTGACCATTTACACTGCTCTGTGGCTGAAATGGTAAGTTTCCAGTTTCAGTAGCCCAAGTTATTCCTGTGTTCCTGCACTAGAAAGGGGTGAGAAAAGTCAATGACTAATGCAGCAGTTCTCAAACTGTGGTAGGGACTTTTTAATGGGGCTGCCAGGTATTTTTGCTTCAGATTACAGGGACCCTGCTTTGGGTTGAAGCTCTTTGGATTTGACTTTGCCCCCCATACCTTGCCTGGGATAGGGGGATTTGAGTGGGGCCTTAGGCTTCAGTTCTCCACTTCTGGGGTTGTGAGGTAATTTTTGTTGTTGTTGTCAGAAGGAGGTTGTAGTACAATGAAGTTTGGGAACTCTGAGGCTAAAGAATCTGGATAGGGGCAGAGCCACCAAGCTCATCCTTTTTCTGTCTCCCAAACCTGCTGTGCAGGGATGCAGAGGGAGCCATATTCCCTAAATAGGGTCCCCAAAACCTGGATTTAACTTTAAATGAACAGAAATGTTACAATAAATAAAGATAGGCAACCCTTTTTAAATGCAAACCCTTTTCTACAGGACTGTGAACATGAAAACAATTCTATTCTATATTGGTTCTTATACTGTGCTCAACACTAGTATCTGAGGAGCTAATGACAACTTTGTGATGGTTTCTCAGAACCTGCAAGTGACACCCAACTATAAACAAAAGTGAAACTGGCCAGCTGAACTGGAGTGAAAAGCAAAATACAAACAAACTTTTTTCAATAAGGTAAAGTAATGGCTAATAAGTGCTGATATTTTAATATTTAAAAAAACAGAATGAAGTTATTCAAATGCAAAGGCATCTGATATTTTTATTAAAGTATATTTTATTTTAAGCTTGATAAATTACAAATGAATGAACAGATTTCTACCAAACACCCACAAACCTTCATCTGTGTGCTCAGAACAAATGGGGGAATTTCAACCCAAAGGGAATATTCAAAGTATCTGAAAACAGGGATTCACAATTTAAGTGCTTCTTCTACCTTTGGTGATTTCCTATAGTGCCATCACTATGATACTATGACAAAAGCATCCACATTTGTTCCACTAATAGAAAATAATTATTCAGATAACAAGAAAATAGCCTGCTTAATTTAATATGGTGAGTGTCTAACATGGAGAATAAATATGGGAAAAATATCAAATGTGTCCATGAAATTCTCAATGATTTCAGATGTACTGTTCATATTTTAAAACCTGAACTTGAGAATGTGTTTTGTCCACATAAAAGTATACACACACAGAGGATGATGTTTTTATCTTTTAGAGAAGCCAGTATTTGTAGGGGAAGAGATCAGACAAACTGCACTAGCGGAGAATATTGAAAGGAAATGTGGAGAAAGATACTGGTAATATATCAACATTCACATTGTAGGCTACTAGGAGTAAATGTATTGTAAGTTAAAGGATGATGGAAAATAAATGGTATGGGCAATGGAGACTTGGATTTTCAAGGAAGCAGTCAATTCCTATTGCAAGTCATACTGCTTAGTAAATGAATTAGTGTCAGGGCAATGTCATTTGTGGATCAAATTAATATTGTACTGTATTATCCCTATCTGCTTTTATGCTAGTCTCTGCCGTTCAGTCTCTCATTTCTCTATATGATGTATTTGTGCTTTCTTCCATCCTATGCCCTCTCTGAAGTAGACTGTAAAACCATTACTATATCCCTTCAAATCCGTCTTCAAGGCCGGTTACCACCATAACACCTCCTGGAAAGTGCCAACTGATGACAATGAACAGAAATCACCTCCTGCATGTATTTTAAGACTGATCCTAATATGGACTATGGACACTATGGCAAATACATATAAATTACTGAATCTGTAGCTACTGTGCTAGGATAGTGCTATGGATGGCAGAGAGCCTTCAAGTCACTTTCACAATTTACTTTAGAGAAGGAAATTTGATGCCTAATTGATTTTACTTTACAGGTGTCCTTAGATTAGTTTGAGCAGAAGTGCAGTGGATGTGTGTCCCCGCCTGCCCTTTTTACATAGCTATCCCTGCCAGCCTTCCAAACTATTTTAGTTTCTTAAATTGTTTCCTTCCTGCTTTCTAAGCTCTGTGTAATGTGTATATTGTGGTTCCATTGTGCATAGTGTTTTATATATAAAATGTTTATGTATTAAATCCTTTGATGTTAGAGAGCTGAGATGTTCTGAATCAAAGAGATTTTCCAGCAAGCCATGTGATGGTGACTTTGTGCATAGTATTTGCCACTTCTCAGAGAGAATATTAGCATCATGGCTGGCCTATGATAGACAGGTTATGAATAAGTGAGATGTTAGCTAGAGATCTTTCTAAATAACCAGGCCAAGGACTAGAATTAAGAGTGTGAAGCAGGTGGAATATTCTATCTGTTAAAAATACAGTCAGCATTGGATAGGTATCATGGAAGGATATTTGCAGAGTGCTGGAGTTTACTACTCTAGTAGATGTTCACATTTAGAAGCATGTGATCCAAGAAGAATGACAAAAAACAGGAGTTCTTTGAAATTCAGATCCAGTTTCAGACATAAATTTTGCTCTCACACCAGTGCAACCCCTTTCGGCCCAAAGCGTTTGTATAAGATGATCAGAACTTCTATTCTGTGAGTGTGAGAGAGGCCAGTTATGTAAAGCAATGTAACCAGACAGGGGGCATGACAAATTCATACAGTTACCCTCTTCTCTGAAAGAGTTATTTTTTGTACTCATTTTTGCAAAGGTGAACTAGTAAGACTTCTCCCACCTACACACCTGTTGTGAGAACAAAAGCAGATTAGCCATTTTTAAATGCCATTTACAGCTTGCACTTTGCAATTTAATGGTTGTCAAAAGATCAATGATTATACAACGTAGGCATATTAAAGGTCTTTATAGAACTGTTCTCTTAGACAACTGAAACATTCCTGTAAGTGCCAGCAACCTAGCAAACACCTTAATTTTATTTATATACCAAAGTGGGAGAGGGTCTATGTAACATCTTAGCAGAAAAACCATAGTAGCTTGCTGCTTGTGGAAAACTGCTATTGATATTGAATTCTTGTTCCTAAAATACTGAAAAACATATTTTGATGGAGTATGCAAATGAGCCAAGAGCCTCTTTACTAATCACAGCAATTACATCAAATGAAGAGAGAACCCTGTGGAACTGCAGATTTCCTCCATGTTATCAGTGTGATGTGTGCACGTCTGCTGTAATTAGATCCATAGGGAGTGTATTGTAATATGAAAGGATTTCATTCTCCACACAATCTAAGTAGTGTTTCAATGCACGTCACATCATTTGCCAATAACTTAATCCTGAAGTGTTCCCATAAATAATTTCAACACTTTAACACCATCCTAGGATATTTAGTTTCATTGGCCAGTCCTCCCAATATACTTTATTTAAGCTTGGTGGAATTATTATTTTATTTTTTATAATTTGGACAGATAATATCAATTTTATATTTTATCATTGTTTCCAATTTTTATTTATTTAAATTTAGTTGCAGGAAACTATGCACAAATTGTCAATATCCTTTGTCAAAGTTCAAAAACCAAATATCCTTCAATCAAACTCCTAAAAATTCTCAAGCAATATTTTCCTTACAAATTAAGATTATTATAAATGGAAATATTTTTCATTGGTATGTTTGCAGAGAGTGAAATCAATATTTACGAATATTTACAGATAAAATTCTAATTCTATCTACTCTAGTCATAGTTTAAGGGTTGTCAGTAAACTAAAATGAATTAATATTATTAAAATACATTTTCTATGAGGTATATATTAATGGAACATATCTTGTATTATTCTAAGTCTCCTGATCTATCTCTTTGGTCAGTAGGTGATGGGATTTTCAAGCTACTTATATTGAAATAGATAATAAATATATTTGCTGCAGTGTATTTCAGGTGAATGTCCTTGCACTTGTAAGGTGTGTCTACTCAGCAAAGTTATTTCAGAATAATGGCTATTATTCCGAAATAACTATGCAAGCATCTACCCAGCAATTCTGTTATTTTGAAATAAGTTCGAAATAAGGGACACCCAGCAATTCTGTTATTTTGAAATAAGTTCAAAATAAGGGACAGGTTATTCTGACTTCTGTAAACTTCATTCTACGAAGAATAATACCTATTCCAAAATAGCTATTTCGAAATAAGGCATGTGTAGATGCTGCACTTCTGCTAATTTGAAATAGCCCCTCATCAGGGCCATTCTAAGTTATTCCTCTTGGGGCTCTAAATCGAGATAGCACATCTACATTAGGGAAGCCTGCCTTGGACTAATTTTGAGGCTTCCCCGCAGTGTAGATGTGCTATTTCAAAATAAGTTATTTCAGAATAACTATTCTGGAATAGCTTATTCCAAAATAACTGTGCAGTTTAGCCATAGCTGTAGTGATTTCTTTTCATCGATAGGCAAGTTATTTATTTGCATTACAGTCATTCCTAACTGAGGTCAAGTCCTCTTCGTTTAGGTAACTGTACATAGAGAGCAAAAACAGTCTTTGTCCCAAGTAGCTTATGCACTAAATAGACAAGGAAAAGAAGGGAATTATTGTTATTCCCATTATTCAGACTGAGGGATGGTGAGAAGGAATGGCTTGTCCCAGGTCACACAGTAAATCTGTGACAGAGCTGGAAACTAGACCCATATTTCCAGAGTAACTGAATCATAAGACCATTCTTCCTCTCCAATTCCACTATGACGTGCTTTGCTACAAAGTAATTAGCATTAACATTTTCCCTCAGCCAGAACTACAGGAAGAGAGGAAGGGAACAGCTGTTGCATATATCCTCCAAAACAACAAGTGCATAAAGGAAGACCTACTGAAAATAAAGTCAAGAGACTAGTCACTAAATCTGGTATAGAGAGACTTATTATGCCTCCTTAATTAATCCAAGGCCTCTGAAGTTCTTGGGATTCATGCCCAGAAAGGGCAGGCAT